GTAAGTAACGTACGTACGATATATATATATATATATATATATATATATATATATATATATAGTTAGGAATATATTATCTCTTTACGAGCACGCACGTAATTTATTCTTGCATTAATTTTCGGCTTAAACCAGTTTCGTTGTACGGAAACTTTTAACAAACACGTTCTCTCATCAATTAAGCTCGCGCTCGAGGAAAAAAATCCTCTTGGATCTACTCGATGGATCTACTTTCGTCTTAATCATCGATCTTGCCGATCTCTTCAGTTCTTTCTCTTCGAATCTCGCGTAATTCTTCGAAATCGCCGGGGATGTGATTCATTCTCGCTTACCACACGTTTATTTGTTTCGATCGGATCGAATTCTTCGAAATTAACGCACGAAATTGGCACCTGAATACGACACTCGTGTGCGATATCGCGCGTGAATGAAGCGCGGACACGTGGCAACCCGCGGCTAAAAGGGATTCGTGGTAGGAAAGCTCCACTCCCGTGTTGCCAGCTGCATTTTCCACGTATCCAATTCGCCCTTTGATAGCACTGACCCAGATTCGTGTCCAGAACAAACACCTCGAAAAGCAATCGACAACCTCTTTCCACGCAATTAACTCCTCCACACATCCTCCGCTAGAGGAATTTCTTTCAAAAGGATTCTTCTGCTTTCTGAACTGAGGAAACAGGCCTTCCACCACTTTCCTTTCAATATTCTTATAAATTATCCTCTTCTCCGTTATTTATTTTCGGAAGAAGAGATTGAAACTTGAAAATGCTGCATCCTCGAATCGATCGACGAGTGTTTCTTCGTTGTTCGTTCGTTGGAATACGTTCGTCAACAGCGTCAACAGTTTACACGGTGTGCCGCGCTAGATTAACAATCCTTGGCGTTTCGATGTCGCTTCGGATGCGTTGACGTTGACTCGGGGCCGGCTAGCGGGGAGGAGCTGGCTCGAGACTGTAACGAGCTTCGGGATTGATTAACCGTGGCGTGGAGCGACGCGCGAGCAAGTCTACTTCTGCCAAGTCTGGGCAAACGAGTCGACGTCTCGATCCACTGGCGGGGGATCACCGGGGCCTTAATTACGCTTGATTAATAGCTTCTTCGACGGATTGTCGGCTGGCTTAGACGGCCTGTTTAACGAAGGTCTACCATAATTTTTCGGCGAGCCAGCTCGAGGGGCTAATTTTCGGTACGCCGCCTCGTGAAATAAAACGTCACGAGGTGGTTGTTTCTCGATCGATGGGGCGGAGATGGCGAGGAGCCGTTTTCATTCCTCTTTTTTTCTTCTTCTTCTTCCTTCTTTCCGAGTAAAGTGTCGCGCTAGTTTCTTCCTCGTGTAAACAGGAAAATGAAGATTCTCCTCGAGTTGCTCGATTTTTACGATATCTCGACGAATTTTTATTTATCCATTCGTCGACTTGGTAAACCGAATTCTCCACACGCGAACGTATCTTGAGAAAAGATAGCAATATTTTTAATCAAAGTTACATTTGCAGGAGAAAATTGTTAATTCATATAACGTCCAGTTATATTTTCAAAAAAAAAAAAAGAAACGAGACGAAAAACTAACAATCCCCCAATTTCCGCGGTTCAAAATCTTCGTGAAATTTCGAGGAACGAAGCTCTCCTGCCGCACTCCTCTTTTCGAGTCTTTGATATCTGGTCGGTACAGGAAACGGTTTCAAACGAGAGGGGAAATGACTTAGCTGTAATCTTTCGTTTTTCAACGGGCTCGGCCGCCCGTCGAAACGGGCAACGGTATAACACCGAAATAGATTACAAACGTAATATTTCAGCCGTCATAAATATTCCCTGTTGGAAGTTGGCGACTCCCTTTCCCCTTCCTTTTTTTTTTCCTTTCTTCCCTCCCTTTTCTCTTTTTCTCGGCCGAGCCGCTTTCGCAGGCCGCCGGTCGCAAACGTCGCGATCTAATTGGGATAAGACGGATTTTTGTACCAGGTGGCCCTTAATTGGCCGGCCATCATTACGGGTGGTCTCGCGGTTCTAATTACTGTACGCGGCCTTTGCGTGCGTATATATACGTCTCTCAAAAGATTTTCACGGGCGCAGAGAGGAGTGAATTATTTATAACGAAAGGCGACCACTGCTGCTTTGCCGGCGTAAATGCTAACGTTTCCCGCAATTTTCTTCGCGTTAGTTATATTATTATTATTTCGATTTTGCACCCCATTTTTCTTTCCCTTTCTGCCACCCACTCGGAGTTCTTCGCGAGAAGAAATTTGAGGGGGGAATTGTTTTCTCGTGAAGAAGAGAGAAAAGATCGAGAGGAAGTTGTACAAATTTTGTTAAAAGCATCGTGGAGATTACGATTTTAGAACGAGGAAATTTCTCGAGCAATTTTTCTCGCCAGGACGAATTGAAATTCGAAATGAAATCGATTAATCTTTTAATGGAAAGTTTATTGATTCTTGTAAAATCAATTGTTTAAACAACGTGTATAATAATAATAATAATAATAATATATATATATATATAAATAAAATAATTGCTTTAAATTTTATTCGATACAAATTACAAATTGCATTAGAAAAATAAATAATACCTATAACAATGTATCCAAATTCTTATCTCACTTCGGATACATTTTCTTTTCTGGGATATACAATCGATGAATTTACACAAGTACTATATCACCGTATTAATAAGTAAAAGTTATTGATTCTCGTATTCATAAAAAAAAGAAAAAAAAAAAAGAAAAGAGAAAGAAGAAAAAATCTGTATAATAATAACAATATCGATAAAAATATATATTTTACTCGAAGCGAAAAGTATAATAATATAAATAAGGGAAAAAGTACGGTATCACAAATTATTTATTCCATTTGTTATTGTTCTTCCGCTTCTATCCCGTGGTAATTCCATTCTTGAATCTCTGCCGAACCGAAGATGGTGAATACAACAAATGCGGACATTTGTGCAATAACGGTTATCCAGAACACGTATCTCCATCGTGCCATAGTATGCTACGTTATAAACATAACATTTGGAAAAAGTAAATGGAAATGTTGGCGTAATTTTTAATTATTATAATCGCGTTAATTATATCGCGAATTATATTTAACTCGAAAGGGAGAAAAAGAAAAAAGAAACGGATAAGAAGAGCGACAAGAATATTAAGAGTCAAGAATAATAGTATCACGGTTAAAGACAGCGAATAAATGAGGGCAGTTTATAATATTCCACGCGTGTTGGGTTAAATTTAATCCGGAGTTTCGTAATTTGTGAACGACGTTCAAATATTGGCCGCATTATTATTACAATTATTTGTTACAACTTTTTTTAAATATCACTTTAATATTTAATCCACTGCTCGAACACGATTTATCATTTACATAAAAATAGCTTGGTTAATCAATCATCAACGTTCAATGCTCAAATTGCACGGAGTGCAAAAGATTATGTAATCTAATTGTGGATAATAATACGTGATGATTCAAGATGCGGTCGAAGAGGAATATAGGAGAAATAAATTTGATCAGAAACGTGGGAAAAATGTGAAAATTTCGGATGCTTCGTAACAGATAAATTGAATTCTCGAAAATATCTCCTATGACGTATTGGGATTTTCAAAAGATTTCGATCCGAATCCGTATCTCGAGACGAGGTTCTTCGAATACTCGATCAGTAAACATTTCCGTTCTGATTGTATCCAAGAAAATTCGCCCTGAAAATACTGGATAGGAATCTCGTTCGTCGAGATTTTCACAATTTTCGTAATTAAATATAATTCTCTCGGTCGATTGTACACACGCTGCAATCGTTGATGATCGATCGATCATATATTCGACGATAAAATTTCTTTTCTAAAATTTCATTTCTAGCTTCCGTTACGTTTCCCTCGTTTATGATTTATCGATATTATTCGGGGGAAAAAAAAAGAAAAGAAAAAAATCCGATATTTTCGAGTTCTTTGATTTCTCGATCTCTTACCCCGGCCTCCGTAAGTGCGCCCACAATGGCGGGCAAAAGAAACGCTGAAATAGTTCCTGGAGTATTTGTGATACCCATTAAAATTCCAGCATAGTTGGGCGCCAAGTCGTTGTGGTTGGCAAGATGGCCGACAAAAATGGAACCTCCTAACATTACGCTCAGCATCAAGAGTACGACGGCGATTACTCGATAGCAACCGATATAAGTGATAATCAGGAGGAAAACACTCGGTGGGATGCAACCTGTGATTAAGAAGTGCAATTATTTATTTTCAATAATAGGATAGCAGAGGTGGAGAAATTTTAGATCGAGCAGAATCAGGGAAAGGTTATGTTACATGCCGAGGATCAATATAGGGAACTCACTCATTCCTACTGCGATCTTTCGTCCACCGGTCTGGGTCCAATAATTCTTTAGTCTGCCCCAATCCAGTACCCTTCCCAAGACCGGATTCATTATTGCGGCCAAGAGATACGGCAAGCAGCTTAAAACCGCGTTCTGACAAATTACCAAACCGATATATAGATAACTTTGACAAATCTTGTAATTTACGCCAATGATTAAATCATTCCACGAGCGATTGCAACAAGAGGGTTACACGTAATATTTATTGCTATATTGCGTTAACTAATAATAATATATATATATATATATAATAATGCCGCGATTAAATTATTTACTTTTCACTCAAATTATTACCACGTATAATCGATCGACCTACACTCGTTATCTATCCGCCCTTACGAATTACAATAATCGTGATAATTTTGTTGCTCCGTTGTTAAAAATTTATATAGAAAGAAAATCGAAAGCGTTCATGGGATGACTTAATGTGAAAAATTTCAAAGAGAATCGAGTGGCCGACTCACGGATTGAATGTCGAATCTCAGAATCTTGTTCATGTACATGGGCAGCTGTGTGAGCAAGAAGTACCAAGCGAAGTTTCCGAACGTGTTGGTGTAAATCAGGGCGAGAAACGGGACCGATGTGAAAATGGCTTTCCACGGTACCTTCATCTGCACCGATTCAAGGCCACGGTGCCCGTACGAGGTCACTATGTAGTGCCTCTCCTCCTCTGATATGTAATATTGCGTTTCCGGGCTTTCGCGGAAGAAAATGATGAAGACGACGCACCATATCAACGAGAGGGCGCCGTGTATGTAGAAAACTGCCTCCCATCCGAGGCTGTGCAGTATCAATCCTGACGTGAGGATGGAGATCACGGTGCCGATCGACGTGCCCGAATAAATGATACCGAACCATAAGCTCTTCTCCTCGTAAACGACCCATCTCCCAACCATGATGGCAACGATAGGAAGATTCGGCGCGCTCACCACACCCATCACGAATCTCGTAACGTAAAGTAGCCACAGCACGGGCGCCACTAATGGCACTATCAGTGTCAGGATCGCGTTCCCCAGCACGCAGATCAGCAGTGCGTTCCTCGAGTTGAAGCTGCAAAAGTATCGTGTATTTGTGAATGAGTTCGAGAAACGAGTACAGCTCCTTCGTCGAATTCGGCGTGGGAAATGGGAAAATATTTTTCGAAGACGACTTTCAAGTTCGATCGTTTAATTTGTATTCGCACTTACCGATCCGCGAAATATCCGCATGGGAACATGCCTACCAAGTAACCGGCGAAATAAATACTGATAGCCAAGCCTCGCTGCGTCGAAGTCCATTCGAACGGGCCCTCTATATCGACGACTTCGGCTATAGGAGCAAAATCGCATTCGTCCGACGCGTCCGGTACTTCATCTCTGTATTTCACCATGCCGACGACAGCCACGGCTATGTTCACCTTCAACCCGTAGACGATCATGTTCGCGATGCAGATCATTATGGCAAACAAATATCTCACGTATCCCACTGTTGCGAGAAATATAAATTATAAGCGTGAAAAACGATCTATTTAATTAGATTAGCTTCCGAAAGCTTGTGTAAATGTGGACAATTTTAATAAGCTCGAGATTTCGAAGGGAAAAAGAAATTGTATTGGAAGAACGGTTTGTCTCTACAGACGGAGATAAATAAACAGTTAGAAATATTAATTTTCTTTGACAATTTGTGTTGGTCAACGTTGAGCAACGTTTGAAGAGAACTATTCGTTCTCTCGCTTACCCATCTTTCTCGATTTTTCTTATTTCGACCGAATTGAAATTTTAATTCTCCCTTCGTACACCACGTTTACAGCAGTTCGTTACAGCTGTTGCGCCGTCTATTTTCCTTATCGATCGCGAAAATCGGTTTCGTCGCTTCTTTACATCCACCTATTCATCGATGTTTATGGTTGAGAGTATGAGTTTCTTCTTCTTAGGATGTATCGGTTCCTCAAAATGAGATTATACGTCAATGCTATTCGGAATTACGCGTTTCCTTTGTTTCCAGTATCGATGTTAATGTTCGAGTATCGATTATGTGCTGTCGAGTAAATTGAGTCGAGTTCAATTTACTTCTTATTTATTCATTTTTATTTTGCGTTTGAAAGCGTCTCAGATAAATCTGTCAATTTTATTTAGTGGATCTGTTAAAGAATAGCGGAATTTTTATTTTTCCTTTTTTATTTTTAAATTATATCGTCGCCTAGAGATTCGATCGATCGAGATTTGATAGATCGAGATTTGACCTCGTTCCATTTCACTCCAATGGCAATATCATTCTTCTTTTAACGTTCGTAGCGATGTTTAAAGAAGTATCGACCGCTTAAAAGTTTTTATTGTGCAACGTCAACCTGTTGAATGCTCCTACTATGTATACGTTACATTTCCACCGCTTACTCTATGAATCTAGTGACATTAGCGATTCCTATCAACGGATAAATCGCCATAAATATCGAATAAACGGCGCTTTTGCCGTTGTCGTTGGGAATTTCAGTTGCCATAAATTTATTATCTTTTCTGATGAGAACAATCAGATTCGGTTGGTATGTTGATGATATGTCAGTTGTTATATCATTGGATGGATATAATACACGCAATTTTTTTTATTGCATATTTTATTGTACTGTATTATTTATTGTATTACAATTATTCTATATTTTATGATAAAATTGTAACATGATTTTTATTCGGATTTTGTTATTTGAGACAATGGACGAAATTAAATTATCAGATTTATTATTTTGATTCAAATATCACATTCGAAATTCGACCAGAATGCGACTACGAGATACGTAAAGTTTTAAATAAATTTAAATCGTATTCGTATAATAAAATATATATTGATTTTATAAGGATTATTAAAATTTCATTTGTGTAATATTATTATTCAAAATGAGATTCAAATATCTTAATTCGAAGTCAAATATTGTTTTCGATGGATAGATTCGCTTCGTAGATTCGATCTGAAACTAGTAGAGAATGGGAATGTAAGATGTCAAGTATCCGGAATTAAGGTTAATAGATGTTATAAATTTAATCTCGGATTCGCAGAAAATTATCAAATTAGGTGGATAATCAGTTACGCAGATGTCCTGATACATTTAATCCAGATGGAACTTATTAGATATAGTGATTTATACATTTATCACGCTCCATTTGCGGTCTGCTTAATAGGAGAATAAAATTAGACTCGCGGCATTTCACGATTCATATTACATTATGTGTTTAATCTGGCATTAACATAGTGTAACGTTCGAATAAATCATGCATTTCTCTTAAATAAAATATCCATATATATATATATATATATATCATTATGTATTATGTCTCTAATATATAAGCATCGAGATAATATCAAACGCATATCGAATCGTTATAAATATCTTAACAATGGTTTCAACGAAAAATACACGTAAAATTACGTGTGTTTTAAAAATGCTTGAATATCAGCATGTGCAATAACGATACAACAATACGAGATCATCGTAAGATCGAACATGTATTTACAATATTTTTTCTTCATGCATCTAAATCTAAATCTACACCTACAAAAAAAAACACATACATTCTTTTACACCACATGCTTCTACAAATCATTGTTTCGTTTCTTATCGATCCAAGGAAATTTTACCTGCTCCATTCAAGTATACCGCTCGACTCGACACACGTTTGACAAACATGCACCTGTAACGACCGACAACCGAGCCCGATCGATACGCCGCCTGAGACTTCCTTTAAACGTCGGCTCTTTTCACGTCGCGATGCAAACGACAACCGTAACGAAATGTTTCGCTAGAGAACGGCGGGGGCGGGAAGGATAGGGGTGATTACGACGACAGCCTGCCGAGAGAGGGATGACACGAGTCTAAAAGGCGACCAGGTCGCGCGTGTAAGATCGGCCAAACTATCTTCCTCGTTTGTTCCCTCGAATCGAGAGGTGAACGTTCGCGCGTATCCGCGAATTCCACTCGAGAAAACGGGAAGCCTCGACACGTTAAAAATGAACGTGCCATTGCGCTCGGTCGAGAATAGACCAAAGAGCGAGGGAAAGAGAGAGCGAGAAGAGGAGGATCGTGGAAGAGGGGAAACGAAGAGGAGAGGACGACGGGTTCTATAAGGAGGGACAACCCGTTTCACGACAGCTCACGGGCGCGAAGAACTCTTCGAGGCGCGAGGACAACGATGCCCGGTGACCGATTAGACGGTTGAAAATCCCCGTGGATGGAACCGGTCTGAGAAGATTCAAGGCCCTCGAGATGCGGCGCATTGTCGGCGGAGCTCGCGTCGGTCAGCCACTTTGCCGTCTCACGATTCCCCCCGCAATGTAAACACACGGAACCGGTGGAAAAGTGGCGCAACCTACTCGAAATAGAATCAGTCAAAAGGCTGACACTTCTCGCCGGTGGAATACCAATTAGCCGGTGGAAGTCCGTTCTGCTAACAAGCGTGATGCCCTCTTTGCGTTCTTCGTGCCCCACTCGTCGGACCACCTAGCGCGAAAGTGAAGCGATACAAGGCGAAGAGAACGCTCTTTTCCTACGTTACTATGGATGCTAGGCCGACTCCTAATTATAGCAGACGTTCGTCAATTTTTACTTCTTTCTCATCGTTACGTTTGTTACACGGATTCGAAATTTCGCTCGGATAGAAATCTAGCTGATGGCTAATTTGATGAGAGAAATCAATCTCTGCGACTTTCCTTCATTTTATTATACGTTTAACGATGAAAATCACTATATATATATATAATTAGAGTGCGGATATTTATGCACAAATATGAATTTTTCCAATCTTCATCCACGTCATAACTCCGCAATATCATGATTCGAAATATTTCGACGAGAAACAGCGCGCGTCTACTGTCATCAAATTGGAAAAACAAGAGACAGACGCAATAATTATCTTAATTATCTTATCGCGTTTCGATAACGATTTTTCCCCATTATCCGTCCCCATCTCGAACGAATTCCGGAGGTGGGGGGGAAACGCGTGGCCGAGATAGAAGATTGGAGCGGCGATTGCGAGCAGAGTGTCCGTGACGCGTGGATTGGAAATGGAAAACGCGAAGGTGAACGGCGATACAGGTATCGTATCGGTAAAAATGCGCTGATATATGCGGGCATCGGTTGTATACGACGAGATATACGACGCGATACACCGCGTCCCCTCTGTCTCTCCCCGTCTTCGTTCGACCTGCCCCTTCTGGACCCCTCCACACTGCCCACATCCCCCCAACATAATCGACCCATATTTCCCCGCCGCAATGCGTCAACTTCCCCGCGACCCCGTCCCGCGCCGCTATTTTTCATTCCTGGCCCGTGATCTCGGGTGTCCAAATTCACCTTCCGTGTCATCGAGAGCATCTACTATTCCATTCCCGTCGCCCGTGGCGTGGCGTGGCGCAGAGCGAGCCGGCCGTGGAAATTTCTTCAGGAGGCAGGACGAACGAATCGACGGTGTTCGAATGACAAACAGTCATCGTAATAGACACGCCGAGCGTCGTCTATTTCTTTCTCGCAGGAAATTTGGAAAGGATTCGTAGCGATTCGAAATTATTTAAACGGGAAAGGAAAAGAAAAGGTATTATCGATTGATAATAGTTACAGGTATTTAATTTCCTCTTATGCGTTCTAATGCATGGTGCTCTTGCTCTTTCTCGTATTTTCTTTATTGGCAACAAGGAATACATATAGATGTCTCTGAGAAATGATGGTGCTGGAGAAGTCAATCGATATTTGAAAAATTATTTGATTTAATTTACTTTCTTCATATTCGGAGGAGAGGAATTTTAACTTTACGTTTAGGGATATTTTGTAAATGTTTTCCACGGATTTTGTGACGAGATTAAGAGTGAGAAGCTTGTGAACGTCGTGAATCAATTTCATTTGGTTTTCGCGTATCGCGGTTTTAAATGTGCATATATTTCTATATACATACCGAGGCAAGACCGGTGAAGACGATGGTACCATTGGACGGGCATAAAACGTTTGTTTGCTCATCCAGTTTACACAGCTCTCAAAGTCAACGGCAACTTCCGCTCGACCGACTATCGTTGAATGAAATGCTAACGATGATGGATGGGCAACGATCTCCCTTTCTTCCCTTCCATGTAAAACCTTTTGTTAAAAAGAAAATAACAGAAGCGGACAGACAAGAGCACGGCTCAAACACGCTCATCGGGGAATAACGCTGATATTTTAAACCGTTTCACAACCTTTTCGCCTTGTAATTAAGCTTACAAGACGCTCGTTTCCATATTCAAATTAGCCGTAGGGAACAAAGTCAAACACACCAAGTGGAAACATTCGTGGTTCTAATGCGATGATCTGGTTTCTTAGGGCCGACCTAATTCATGCATGAATTGACCTCCCTTCTTTCTCCCGCTCGAATTCTTTCCTAATCCTTCGTTCCGTCGTTTCAATTATGCGGAGGAACCATGAATACGAAATTTTCTTTAGCCTCAGAAGGGAACAGAAGGGAAAGGATAGATTAATTTTTACAAACGAACAAAATTTATCGTTTCGTTACCCCATACCGTACTCTCTTTCTCCTAATTTCAACGAAAATAATCATCTCACCGTGAGGAAGAACGGGGTTTTTATTAATCGAGCGACTTTCGAGGATAGGATACAAACAGACGCGACACCCTTTATCGCATTAAGAGCGATGAGCCGTCAGCTGGACAGCCGTATCGTCATTCCACTTATTATACACCCACTGTCAAGATTCCCTGAGAGACAGGGGCAAACCTTCTCGCCTTTCGGATCAAGCAGAAACGTCTTACGGATCTTGGACGCGAACGATATGATCCTCTTAATATGTCCCACGGCTTACGAGTATTATGATATTCCCTCCCTAATTCTTATCTCGTGGAAGAGGCCACCCCCTCGGCTAAGCCGGACGAAGAAGCCCCGGGCGAACGTGGAGGGCTTACGCGCATATTGATGCTCGTTGAACGCGTGAATTTATGCACGAGTTAACGAGAGAAAGTTGTGAGCCAAAAATCTGCTTCGAGATCGCTCGATGCTGCGAGAACTCTATTTTAATTAAAATAGA